AGGTGCGCTTAAAGGCAGCTCCTTCCCTCGGCGGGGCGGCGGGCGCCGATGGGCCAGGTTGCAGGGCTGCGCCGGGGAACAATGCCGACGCTTGTTCCCACCGCCAGAAGCCTCCCTTCTCTCTCTCTCTCTCTCCACCGGCCCCCTAGGATGGATCCAGACCCGCCTGCCTTTCCGGCACCCAGAGAGGGGGGCCATAGGAGCCAACTCCTACGGGCCAGGGACCCTCTGGCACCCCCAATAAAATATTTGAGCCCCCCCAAAAGTCAATGGGCATTGCCATTCAAATGGTGTGCGTCAGGGGGTCCCACATAATCACATAACGGGGTGCACCCACACTACTTGAATGGCAATGCCTCTCAACTTTTTGTGGGAGGGTCCAGACCCCTCAAATACAGTGGATGCTCTGGTTGCAAACGTGATCCATGCAGGATCTGTGTCTGCGCACCTGTGGGTTGTGCTTCGGTGCTTCTGTGCATGCGCGACCGCTGAAACCCAGAAGTAACCCGTTCCGGTACTTCTGGGTTTCGGTGGTCCGCACCCCAAAAAAATGCAACCTGAAGCGGCTGTAACCCAAGGTACGATAAGACTGTATTTTACAGGGTGGGCAAAGGGACCTTGGCCCCAGGAGTTGGCTCCTATGGTGTCCGTGCATTGCATCTTGTGGCCCTCCCCCCCCCCCAATATTTTATTCAAGTCGGCACCCCTGCTCTTCCCTCCAAACCACAACTTTGCAGGCTTGCTAGGGCAGTAATTGGCATCCCTTTCCAGCCAGGTCTCTGGTTTTAAGGGTGAGCTGCTAGCAGGGGCAGTAAGGCAATGAGGGAGAAAGAGCCAGGGGTTGGTGTCCTGCCTCTGAGAAAGGCACAGGAGCCTTGGCAGGAAGAAAAGTGGCAACCTTTGTTGGCCAGCGCCAGGCTATTTTGCGCCCTAGGCAAGGCTAACTAGTTCCGCACACCCACACAACATTGCTAACAATTAGAATGTATGAGTTTCTTCAAAACCGGTAACATTCTTCAAAATATAAAATGAAAGTAAATTATAACCAGAAATTTATAAGACATCAAAAAACGAATCTGCATAAAACTCTGCCCTTCAAAGGTCAGTACTGTGCCTCTCTGAGGTCTGCGCCTAGTTGGCCTAATGATGGCACCGGCCCTGCTAGTTGGTAACGGTAAAAGGACCCCTGACCATTAGGTCCAGTCGTGACCGACTCTGCGGTTGCGGTGCTCATCTCGCTTTATTGGCCGAGGGAGCCAGTGTACAGCTTCCGGGTCATGTGGCCAGCATGACTAAGCCACTTCTGGAGAACCACAACAGCGCACAGAAATGCTGTTTACCTTCCCGCCGGAGCGATACCTATTTATCTACTTGGACTTCGTGCTTTCGAACTGCTAGGTTGGCAGGAGCAGGGACCAAGCAACGGGAGCTCACCCCGTCGCGGGGATTCGAACCACCGACCTTCTGATCGGCAAGCCCTAGGCTCTGTGGTTTAACCCACAGCGCCACCCCTGCTAGTTGGTAAAGAAGGGTATATTGCAGAGGTCAGCAACCTAAGGCCCTTGGGCCGCTTCTGGCCCATGAACTTCCTGGAACTGGCCCACGGCCGACCAGTGGATCGGCGTGCGGATTCAGTGCTTTTTCCCCCCATGGCGCCATTTTTTCCCCTCGCCGCAGGAACCGACATCTGGGTCAGAAGAGCACTGGAAATAGTGTGTGTGCATACGCACAGGCGCTCCTCCGACCCAGAAGAATGCCGGAAATAGCTTAAGCGCACGCACGGGCGCGCACACCCCGGCCCACTGGAGCCGCAGCGGCTTGAGGACAGGAAAGGCCACGACTGGGCAGCTCTGTAGGTTTTTAAGCCCTCCGTTTTAAAAGCAGAAAACAGCTGGTGTATTTCATCTTACTCAGATTGCTACCACTTCTGTTTTTATTTGGGAGACTTCTGCATTGTGCCATGAAAGAAATACAAGCGTGTGCATTGTTGTCATCTTGTGACAAGTCACCTGGGTTCTGGTCCCTCTGCTATGCGCCATCAAGATCAAGAGTTGTATTACCTGAACCAGACAAGAACCGCCTGAAAAATGAGGCCTCTTGGGTGGATTTGCCATGCTACCAAGTTGTTGCTTTAAAGCAGTAAGGCTGCCTTTCCCTACCCCTATATTCTTGGCTGCTACAGGGGGTAGCTCTGCTGTTGGTTTGCAATTTGGGGGCGTGTGGCAACCCCATCCTGGAACACTGTTTCCCTCCCCCCCTTGGTGGTTTGCTAGGGGGCTTAAATATTCTGCACATTTCAAGCAGGATTCAAGCTCAGTGTAGCCTCCCAAGTGGGACCAGGCATTTCATGAGGCTGCCCGAAGGAAAGGCCTCATCTCCTCCCTCTCTGGCGCGCATGCCTGCCGATGCCTAGCAAAGCAAAGCATGTAATGTGAAGCCGTGTGCTCTTGTTTCCCTGCACCACCCTGTCGCAGCGTGACGGCATTGCGCTCTGCATGTTTTACTAGGCGTGCTGAGGAGGGAGGAGGGCAAGATCCAGGGCCCATTGCTTTCAGTGGCCATCAGGTCTCCCTTTCTGGCCCAAAGCAATTCTTCCAACAGATCCTGTGCTTTGTGTCAACCTGATGGGCTCTTGGGTTTCAACAGCAGAAGTGTACCTAGACTCCCTTGCACCCTAAGCAAAGAGCAGGGGTGCCAACTTGAATAAAATAGGGGGGGGGGAGGAAGGTAAGCCCCACCCTACATAATCACATGATTTGGTGCAGGCACAACATTTGAATTACAATGCTTATCAACTTTGGGGGCGGCCCCCTTAAATATTTTATGGGGGAAAGCCGCCTCGGCCCCTAGGAGTTGGCTTCTGTGGCAAGGAGCTGTTCCTGCACACACCCTCATCCCTTGTACCCTGGGCAAGGAGATGTATTGGTGCCCCCCTAATCCTTTGGAAGGGACGCGGGTGGTGCTGTGGGTTAAACCACAGAGCCAGGACTTGTCGATCAGAAGGGCGGCGGTTCGAATCCCCGCGACAGGGTGAGCTTCCGTTGCTCAGTCCCTGCTTCTGCCCACCTAGCAGTTCGAAAGCAAGTCAAAGTGCAAGTAGATAAATATGTACCACTCCGGCGGGAAGGTAAACGGCGTTTCCGTGCGCTGCTGTAGTTCTCCAGAAGCGGCTTAGTCATGCTGGCCACATGACCCGGAAGCTGTACGCCGGCTCCCTCGGCCAATAAAGCGAGATGAATGCCGCAACCCCAGAGTCGGTCACGACTGGACCTAATGGTCAGGGGTCCCTTTACCTTTAATCCTTTGCAACGGCCCATGCCAACAACCAAATTCCTCCGCCGAGGCACTCAAGACGAGCCTGTGCGTCTCATCTGGCCAACCAGAGGAGCGGACCAGGGAGTGTGCAGACAAAGAGACGGGCTTCTAGCCACAGTGGAGAGGCACAATTTTTACACACACAACCCGGCCTGCACTCTTGGAAGGAGCCAAGCTGACTGATGCCTAGATATACCCCCGTTTTAACAATAATACTTTATGTAACCTAATCAAATGTCCACGGCACTTCCCACAAGCCGTATAAAGTTAGACCACTACTGTATTGTTACCCCACGCTTCCCCATAACAGTGGCCGACACTGGAGTCTCCAATTTCAGTGGCACCCTGCGTGCCGCGAAGAAACCATCGCCCCTCTCGCCTCCTACCCCCCCATTTGAAATAAAAGTTGCGGTGCCCCCGAGACTCCACGTCCAGAGCAACTGGATCGGTTGCGCTCCCCTAAAACTGCCTCTGCCCATACTACAGATTTGGGTGGGTGGGCTGAGGTTGAGGAACTGTAACTATTGCCATCTCCACCTGCTCCTGCTTCACTAGCTGGTACACAACATCTCTTCCCCTTGCAGGGGACATCAGAGCAAAATACCCTCCAAGTCAGAAAAGCAGCAGCAAGCAAGATCACTGCTACTCCGTAAATTGAACACGAACTCCCTTTTCCTTGCAGCAGGCCAGTGGGGTGGGGTGTAGAGCATAAGTAGGCAAACTAAGGCCTGGTGGCCGGATCCGGCCCAATCGCCTTCTAAATCTGGCTCGCGGACGGTCCAGGAATCAGCATGTTTTTACATGAGTAGAATGTGTCCTTTTATTTAAAATGCATCTCTGGGTTATTTGTGGGGCCTGCCTGGTGTTTTTACATGAGTAGAATGTGTCCTTTTATTTAAAATGCATCTCTGGGTTATTTGTGGGGCCTGCCTGGTGTTTTTACATGAGTAGAATGTGTCCTTTTATTTAAAATGCATCTCTGGGTTATTTGTGGGGCATAGGAATTCATTCATATATTTTTTTCAAAATATTGTCCGGCCCCCCACAAGGTCTAAAGGACAGTGGACCGGCCCCCTGTTGAAAAAGTTTGCTGACCCCTGGCTTAGAGTGTCGGACGAAGACCTGGCAGACCACGGTTCAAATCCCCACACTTGATCATGAAGCTCCTGGGTGACCTTGAGCCAGTCATTGCCTGTCATCTGAGCCTACCTCACAGGGGTGTTGTGGTGAGAAGGGGGAAAACCACATATACCACCTTGAGCTCACTGGAGAAAAAGGTGGGATAGGAATGCAATGCAATAAGAAAGAACCAGATGCGGGTTTTGCCAAAGCATACAGATCTAGAAAAATTGTGCTACCATTGATTTTATTTTGCTTCTTTATGTGCCTTACCCCATATATACAGTATGCCCACTCAACTGTGTTGATCCGTGGAACTGGCACTGTTAACAAGTGCCGCATAATTCTCATTCCACAGTCGTAATAAATCAGTATTTTTAATGTGGTGGCATCTGCACTTTGGAACTCCCTACCTATTGACAATTGCTGTATTCTTTTCAATGCCTGCTTAAAACATTTTTGCTCGGGCAAGCCAGACAGATGTTGACACGTTTCAATCTCTTTCTACTGTTTTCTTTTCTTTATTGCTTTCAACCGTTTTTTTTTAATTGATCGTTTTCATATGTCCTGGAATCCACACAGAGGTTTTTACTTACAATCGGAAATGTTATGTCCATTTTTGTGAGGTAAACAAATAAATGCCCCCGTTTACTTGTGAAAGGGAGCTGAACAAGAAGTAGAGCAAAGTTTGTGTTTGTGAGACCCTCGTATTGTGGGGCGAGGGGAGTCATAGCAACGGGAACATGCGAGTGGAAAAGGGTGTATTATTTTTTAGTTTCCTCCCCTTTGCTCGCTCAAGGCGTCCAAACTTAATACTGAGGTTGTGAGCCCTTTGGGGGGAGAGATGGATATGGATGAAATTGTGAGCCTGAACGCCTGGGATAGGGCGGGGTGCAAATATTGTCATGGCTGCTGGCCACAGCATTCCTTGGGGAAGGGTCTTGCTTGTTAATGACTACCAGGATGACTGGTAGATGTTTAGGAAGTAGCTGGGAGATCTCTTTCTTGAGCATTCTGAATAGGAGAGCTATCAGCTTGAAAGGTGACTCACCCCCTTCCCCCAGCTAAGAAGGGAAGGGGGGTTAATTTGCGTGTGAGAGTATGTGTGTGTTGAGAGAGAGAGAAGGAACAAAAAGAAACGGCTTGGAAGAGAATCACAGAGAGCCCAGAGCCAGCAGAGAGTTTGCTGAATACTGGAAAGCGGGGGCGGAGGAGGAATTTGTTCCGTCTGTTTCTCGCAGCTCAAGATCCAGTTCAACAGTCCCAAACCTTGCTTGCGGATCGGAATGCAGCTTGTGACTGGGCGTTGCACTAATCCAGATTCTGCAACGGCGTGTCGGGGGGGGGGGGAAGTGTGCATATTCTGCGGTTGAAATGCGAAATTTTACGGGAAAGCAGCTTGGGAAAGGATGTATTTGGGGGAAAGGCATACAATAACGTCTAAAATTTAAATGCAAACTTTTTGTCTATTATTTAAAAAAAAAAAAACTCATGCAAAATAGAAATGGAACAGACCTATGATTGAGTGCCAGCCAAAAAAAAATATGAAAGTGGACGGATTTAGGCTGGATCTAGACGCGTCAAAGAAGCGATTCAGTTAAAGGCGGCGTTGCAAACTCATACAGAAAAATCCGGTAAGGAAAGACGGGACTCCACAACGCCATCTGGTGTCACAGTGTTGTATCACATATGCAACACATATAAAACACTTTTTCTTTACCAATCTAGCTGAGTCCCAGGGTCTGATCTGTCCATCCCTACTGGGAACATCTGGGTGTTCAGGGGGCCTTTTTCCAAAGTCTGGATAAGAGGTAGTGAAGTTGCTGCACAATAGGAGCGTGTTGCATGCTGCTTGCCTCCGCTTATGGTCTACTTGTAAATAAACCAAATATTACAAAACTCATAACTGACTGATGTTTTGTCTTCCAGAGGAAGCCAAACCTGGCTAGCAGTGCCCCTTGGAATTTTTCACCTGTTGGGGAGGTGTGGAGCACAAAACAGTACGCAGTGCCGGCCCACTCATGAGACAAGGTGAGATGACTGCCTCAAGTTGCAGGATCCACAGGGGCAGCAAGTCCGAGTGTAGATCTTTATTCTCCCCCACCTTGTTCCTGATATAGATCTTCACTCACCCGTTCTTTCTGGCAGAGGGTGTGTGTGCCATTTTTTGGTTCGCCTCAGGTGCCAAAATGTACTGAGTTGGCTCTGACAATACTGTATAACATAGGTTTTCAACCTTTTTGAGTCCACGGCTCCCTTGACCAACGACATTATTTCTGTGGCACCCCAACCATCATTCAAGGCACCCCAGGGTGCCACAGCACACTGGTTAAAAACCACTGCTGTCTAAGTAAATAGCGGCTCGTCTAGTAAGCTTATTCCTGAAGTAAGAACCAAACTGGGGACTTCTTTCTTCCTCGGAACCACTAGACTGGACCTTGGGTCCTGGCCCCTCACTTGCCTGTCCCCGCCTTCTGTGGATCTGAAGCTGGTGACCAGTTTCCCAACTGGACCAGCCGTAGCTGCCACATGAGCAGCGGAGACAGGTATGTGAGGCTCTGGCAGGATGGGCGACAACGGGTGCTGTGTGGCTCTGGCGATAGGGACACCATGGTTTGGTTCACAGGCCCCCAGTGCCTCATGAGAGGCAGAAGCCTCGAGACAGAGATTGAGAACATGTGGTCCTCCAGGTCTTGCTTAACTCCCAAGCCCATTGGCCATGCTGGTCAGAACTGATGGGTGCTAGGAGTTTGACAACATCCGAAAACAGGTTCAACATCCCTGCTGTATAGGATGGAAGGAAAGGGCCGAGGCAAAGCTCACCCGGTGACTGCAGGCACATTTAAAGCATATGGTTTCCTCCAAAGAATCCTGGGAACCAGAGTTGATCCCTCACTGGGGCCAGGCAATGTCATCGCGACCAGCCAAACATTGTGACAAAGTGATACATCACGAAGTTGAAAAGTGGAGAGAGGAACGAGCTGCATTGGCCGCAGCCCCCCAAGGTGCCAGGGTGAAACCTCATCATGCTCCCTTGGTGCAGCTTGTTCCACTGGGCACCGGTGGTGAAGGGAGTCCGTCCGCTGCCAGCACCTGTCGCATGAAGGGAGTCAGGCACAGGCAAGCCCTACCTGCGATATGCTGCCGAGTGATGGCACCGTTGCACTCTGGCTCCCAAGCCACTCCTGGGCGATGGTAACGCCAGTTTCCCTCAAGTCAGTGATAAATGCTGGCAAAGCAACCCTTAGTTCAGCTTTCTGTATGCGTGACCACACCATTGTGATCACTTGCTACTGCACCAGCCCCGACTCCCAAGCCACCAGCTAGCTGCCCTGCAATGGGAAAGCCGCTACCTCGTTCCTGATGCGTGAGAAGGGGGTGGCGGCCTTTCCTATATGCGTTGCTCCCCCTGCCCATCATTGCCAGGCTGGCGATGCCAAGTATGTAATGGCAACACAGCCTCTCCTATTCATTTCCATAGCAATGATACTCTTCCCTCCCTCCTCTTGCCGGCAGAACTCAGCTAGCCAGGCCTTTTGTGGCTGGTTTTAATTAAAAGGCTCTTAAGTGTGAGACAAAGGCAAAGCTGAAGGGGTCTGTGCAGGGGGGAAACGGGGAGGGGGGCTCCTCTATTCTCTATTCTTCCAGCCTGGTATGCAACCACTAACCCTAACCCCCACCCCAAACCGTCCGGCATCAACACCACCCACCTAGGGCAGGAAAGTTGGGAGCAGTCTTGCGCCTAGCTGTTGCGGTGCAACTGGCGGAGAGAGGAGGGAAAGAGAAAGGAAGGTAAAAAGAATTATGCTTTGATACACATCCGCCCATATGAATCCAGCCCAAATTTCCGCGTGAACTAAATAGCCCCTCTCTACCACTTCACTGGGTGAGGAAAGTCTTTTAAGATTTTCTACAGCGAGAATCGCAGGCAGATCAACAAGGTATGTTTAAATGCACATTTAAAGCCTCTGGGATTTCCCCCGGCAAGAATCCTGGGAACTGTAGTTTCCCCCTAACAGAGCTGCGATTTCCAGCACCTGACCAAACTACATGTCCCAGGATTCTTGCCGGGAAGTGGGGGGCAAACGCTCATGTCTATAAAAGTGCATTGGCTATGATTTAGTGTGGCTCTGCAGGGATGCTGCAGTTGCAAAGAATTATGCATGTCAATATTCCCCTTCTCTGCACAGCGCCAAGTTACACACTGGGTCAAAAATCCCCCCCCACTTTTTTTTTTAAAGAGGGCTCCAACAGACTTGCCTTCTTCCCCAATAGCAATGCCCTCCAAAAACCTTTTTTATCCAGCGTATGATCATAGCTGTCAACCTTCCCTTTTCTTGCAGGAAATTCCCTTATTCCAGCGCAGTTTCCCACTGCTGTCCAGGATTGTTAGATATCCCATAGACTGTTCCCGGGACAGGTGAGGCTGCTGATCCCTTATTTTCAAATCTGAAAGTGGACAGCTATGCGTATGATCCAGTAAAAAGTTACAACCTGTTCAACAGGACACTTGTAATATCTTTATCTGGTTCTCCTGTTGCAATCACTGGGACTTAGAAAGGGCCTGGCCTTGGCTAAACTGTGCTTTAAATTTTATACACACAAAAAACGGTCTCTGTTGCCTATCTACATTTTTGCAGTGCGCAGCTAGCCCTCCCCACTCTAAAGGGATACGCAGAATGAAGAGTAGCTAACCCCTCCTCTGTGTCCCCATCCCCAGCTATATCTTCTCATCTATTACTATGTAAAACGCCGGGCAGGAGGGGGAGGGATTTATGGAAGTATTGTGCAAAGGCTGAAATATGACTGGGGTGTGCTTTGAAGTTTGATGAACTGAGCAAAGAAACCTTTACGCCCAGTATTTAGCTTGGGGAATAGGTTGTGTCAACAGAGGGGCGAAGGGTGGTGGTGGGAGGAACTGACATGGTATACTTGGAAGGGGCTGGCGACTCGGGCTTGATGGATGGGGAGCTCCAGCAACGCAACACCTCCCATGTCTTGATAATCAAGGGTGTGAACCTTGGTGGGGGCAGGGAAGGGAGGCTGCTGCAGCTGGCCTGGCTTTTTTTCTCAGATAAGACACAGATTCCTTGAGATGCAACTTCCCGCTCTGCCATAAAGCTTAGTTTAACCTGGCGCCTCTTCTGCTTTCAGTGCCAAGGCATAATATATATTATATATATATGGTGGTGCTGCGGGTTAAACCACAGAGCCTAGGGCTTGCTGATCAGAAGGTCGGTGATTCGAATCCCCGCGACGGGGTGAGCTCCCATTGCTCGGTCCCAGCTCCTGCCAATCTAGCAGTTCAAAAGCACATCAAAGTGCAAGTAGATAAATAGGTACCGCTCTGGCGGGAAGGTAAACGGCGTTTCTGTGTGCTGCTCTGGTTCGCCAGAAGCGGCTTAGTCATGCTGGCCACATGACCCGGAAGCTGTACGCCGGCTCCCTTGGCCAGTAAAGCAAGATGAGCGCCGCAACCCCAGAGTCATCCGCGACTGGACCTAATGGTCAGGGGTCCCTTTATATATGCAAAACAATAATAAAAAACAGTGTGTTAAAGCATGTGCAGAGTGTCGTTTCCCTGCCCGCTCCTGCATCCAGTGGGACTTTCTGCCAGGTCAGTGTGCATGGGATTGCTCTGTATTCTTATGAACATATCCTCTAGATTCAGTCTGGCAACTCATTTGGCAGAAGACTCAAGCTGCAGGGCTTGATTGCAGCAAGAACTGCTCAGTGTCAGGCCCCTGGATGTGTTTTAGGAAGCAGGGTCAGGCCCAGGAATTTCCCATTCTTGTCGTGTTATTATCCCTCCAATAGAACTTCAAGGCAATACTGTGCACTGAACAGATAATTGAAAATGACAGTTCCCGCTGGACGATTCGCAATCTAAAACATGCAATGTGCAGGGGAAAGAAGTTAAAGCAGCAAATTCTCAAGTGCAGGCACAAAGCTGGGTGAAAGTGGGAACCACAGTGGTAAATACTGGTAGAAGTATCCTTGTGAATTATATATCTTCAAGTGGAGCCTGCAACAAAATGTTGCAGCGTGGACTAGTGTTCCTGTTCCGGATGCCAGCCACCTAGCCATACCATCTTCCAGGGCACCCCATTCCATTGCCCCCCTTCCAATTTTTCCATTCCTTCCCTGTCCCTCAATTCTTAGTTGTCATTCTGTGGCCGCTAAGCATGCTCAGTCTTCCTTCAACTGTCTTGGAGCTTCCTCTTCCCTTAGATTCCCCCCCCCCCTGGAAGCGACCCTGAGGATCATCTTCTAGTCCAACCCCCTGCAATGCAGGAATATGCAGCTGTCCCATAAAGGTAAAGGGACCCCTGACCATTAGGTCCAGTCGCGGATGACTCTGGGGTTGCGGCACTCATCTCGCTTTATGGGCTGAGGGAGCCAGCATACAGCTTCCGGGTCATGTGGCCAGCATGACTAAGCTGCTTCTGGCGAACCAGAGCAGCGCACGGAAACACCGTTTACCTATTTATCTACCTGCACTTTGATGTGCTTTTGAACTGCTAGGTTGGCAGGAGCAGGGACTGAGCAACGGGAGCTCACCCCGTTGCGGGGATTCAAACTGCCGACCTTCTGATCGGCAAGCCCTAGGCTCTGTGGTTTAACCCACAGCGCCACCCGCATCCCAGCTGTCCCATACAGAGACTGAAATTGCAACCTTGGCATTATCAGCACCATGCTCTAACCAACTGAGCTATTCATGATACACGTGAGTGCCTCTGAACCCACTTTTGCTGCCGAGTACCTAAACCACTGAGCCTAGGGCTTGCCGATTGGAAGGTCGTTCGGTCCCAGCTCCTGCCAACCTAGCAGTTCAAAAGCACATCAAAGTGCAAGTAGATAAATAGGTACCACTCCGGCAGGAAGGTAAACGGTGTTTCCGTGCGCTGCTCTGGTTTCGCCAGAAGCGGCTTAGTCATGCTGGCCGCATGACCCGGAAAAACTGTCGGCAAACACCAATAAAGCGAGATGAGCACCACAACCCCAGAGTCATTCGCGACTGGACTTAACTGTCAGGGGTCCTTTACCTTTTTACCTAGAAGCAGAGCAGCCAGTTCCCATACTTTCAGGAGTAGACTGGAATCCTACCGCTGCCTCTTTCAAGCTAGATACAAGAGTTATGCAATACCCCGTAATGCAAGAGGCAGAGAGGGGAGTAGAAAAGAACGTAAGGCAGCAGGTTGGTGTTGCTGCCCCAGGGTGGGGAATATACAGCTAATTAGTTTCCGTGCTGCAAATCTCTTACATGGGATAAAATTTGTCACAGCGTCCCGGAAGATCCCTCACCCTATAAATAGCTTGTCCCCTTCGGCATTTTTCTCATCACATGCAAGCTTGAGACGAGTGGAGGTGAATGGAAGCACCCAGGAGAGGGTCCAAGACCAGCTCAGCCGTCTCCAAGCCCACCTGCAGTCTCTTTTTGCCTCCCCCCTTGCAATATCGCTTCCCCATGGGAAGCAGGGAATAGTTTCTGTTTGGTACCCTTTGCCAAAACCGACGGCAGGCTCCTCGACTTGGGTTCCCTGTGACTTGACCGTAGAGATCAGAGAGAAAATGAATCCTGCAGCAAAGCACACAGGCACACTACAGAGTCGTGTGGGAAAGGATATTTATCTGCTCTTGGACCTCTCATTGCTGACCCACGTCCAGGTGGGTCTGCAGACAAACACCAGCTCCCTCGGCCTGAAAGCGAGATGAGCATTGCAACCGCACAGTCAAGCTTGACTGGACTTAACAGTCCAGGAGCACTTTACTTTTACCTTTACATTATTATTATTATTATTATTATTATTATTATTATTATTACATAGGGTAAGGTAAAGGATGGTTAAGTCCAGTCAAAGGCGACTATGGGGTTGCGGCGCTCACCTCGCTTTCAGGCCGAGGGAGCTGGCATTTGTCCACAGACAGCTTTCCAGGTCATGTGGCCAGCATGACTAAACCGCTTCTGCCGCAACAGGACACTGTGACGGAAACCAGAGCAGTGCACGGAAACGCCATTTATCTTCCCGCTGCAGCGGTACCTATTTATCTACTTGCACTGGCGTGCTTTCAAATTGCTAAGTTGGCAGAAGCTGGGACAGAGCAACGGGAGCTCACCCAGTTGCCAGGATTCGAACCGCTGACCTTCTGATCGGCAAGCCCAAGAGGCTCAGTGGTTTAGACTACAGTGCCACCTATTTTCATCGGAGAAATGTTGGAGGGTATGGAGTTTTGTTCCCTCCTCTTTTAAGTAGCAGCAGCAGCAGCAAATTGGCCAAGATGGCGGACTCCTTGAATTTGCATCAGACGGAGGGGCAGACTCTTCTCCCCTTCCTCTTCTTGCAAAGTGACTGTCCTTCTTCCACAGAAGCGGCTGCTGCATCACTGCCAGTGCCACCCCTCCTCCTCCTTGGATGGGTGAGGATTCCAGCCAGATCTAGCCTGACAAGCACAGCTGCGGGATCTGTAGCCCGGCTACTATCTCCTTGGCTTTCTGTTGTGCAGCCCCCCATGCTGGGTCATATGAGGGCCCTCAGCTGTTCTCGCTGAGTGGAGACAGCAACTGGGGTGGGGTGCGGGGAGGCCGGGACGCAAACATTTCATTAACCGAGCGCATGGCATTTAATCTCCCTAAATGAGTCACGGTCTCGGGAGCCAAAGCTGGAGCCAGTTTTGCCCCTTGCTCCTCCTCTCCAAGAGTGACGCTGCATCAAGGGTTCTCAAATGATGTCAGCCAACCTCTGCAGGAAGCACCGGGTCAGCCTCCCACTCCCACTGGTGCAAGTACAACGCAGCCAAAACAACAGTGTCAAAAACGCATTCATTTATCAACCTAGTCCCTGCTTAAGTTTTCACACTATTATACTTATGCTCCTTGGCATCTCTGACTCTTTCTGTTCCCCAAGCGCTCCAGTCTCCTTTCTTCCCTGCATCCTTGCAGAGCACCCTTTTGACTGCTAAAATCTGGCATGATCTGTTATTTCTAAGGCAAATAATTCTCTGCAGAGAATTCTCTTGCCATCATTCCATGGTGGACTCTTGCCCCTCAGCAGTTAGACTGTTTGTGAACATTCCGTGACTTACAATGGATGTGTCTTGGGAAAAGATGGATTCAGCTCTTAGCTGCTGCTTTAACTTCCTCTATCCCCCAAGTTAACATCCGTTTCTTTCCTGTTAACTGCATATAGGTCCTATTTAAGGTTTCCTCCTCGTTCCGACTTCTCTTTTCTATAGCTTCTTCCCTATCTCCTTCAGCTTTCCCTAGCTCCTTCCCTTCCTCTTCAGCTTTATGGCTCCTTTGCCCCTCGTTCCCTCTACTTCCGGCTTTTCACCCCACTACTTCCTTAGCCCCCTCAAAACAACAGCTATTGCTATTTATGGTAAAAACGTGTGCCTGCGACGGCTTTTGACAAACTTCAAACAGCAGCATCGTCTGCTTGCAACACCATGAGGCGGATTACATTTCTGGCACACCTCTACAAACAATCCACAAATAATGCAACTTCATGCAGACACTGACTAAGATTCTATAGAG